AAAAAAAAAAAAAAAAAAAAAAAAAAAAAAAAAAGAAAGGAGAATGTGAGAAATTATTCTATCTAGCTTTATTTACTTAAAAAATACAATATTTACTACATTTACATTAAAATTGTATCATTTAATATACTCATAATAAGCACATTCATTGTATCACAAAATTTTGTAATAGTTTTACAACTGTTTTGATGTAATTGTATTCTTAGTGTATTTTCTAGTATTGACTTAGTGTTAGGAATCTTGGATTTAACCAAATTGCCAAGGGGATCTTCTCTCTATGTGCTCAGGATCATAATTTATTCCAGTGCCAGCATTTTGACATATAGGTACATCCTCATAAAATCCTTTTCTTCTGAAAATTTCAGGAGATGTACATGTCAAGGGAATGTGGGAAACCAAGCTTCAGGGAGTGGATTGCTGACAGCTTCATGAATAGTATTTTATTTAGGATAATGTTATCTGATACAAGACTGACCAAGAGGGAAGATAGGTCACAGGAAATGGAAAACAAATTCTTAACCTTAAATTGAGTAATCCATGGATTATAACCTTTAGCACTAAAATTTGTCTTATGGAATTATATTTCATTCTCCTTTCAGATAGATGATATAATTCCCCTTATTTCACACAATTACTACACTACCTTGTACTAAGGAATACTTTTTCTTAATTTAAAATATGCTTAGTTAATATATTACTTGAATTTGTCCTTTTCCTAATTTCTTTTCTTTCCTTCTTCCCTCCCTCCCTCCATCCCTTCCTTCTTTTCTTTCTTTATTGCTTTTTATTTTATTGTGTATATGTGCATAATGTGTGTGCATGTACCTGCCATTGCACGTGAAGGTCAGAGGACAGTTTTGTGACATATGTTCTCTCCTATCTTTACTTAGGTTCCTAGGCTCAAACTATGGTTGTCAGGTTTATAAGTTATTTTGTAACAGTTAAACCATTTCACAGGCCATTCCTAACATTTTTATTGAAAAATATAGCAAATAGAAAAGTTGAAAAATAGAAT